AATTGGAGACCAGGCTGCGAGCTACATCAATGAACCATTGCCCATTTGCTAATCCAATACTGAATGTTAATATTACTGAAGTCAAAACGAATTCTATGACCTCAGCACATGGGCAAATAATAGGGCAGTGTCGACTCAAAGGCAATGGAAGAAAGCAGAGGCGCCTTTGTCTAAATCACAACCACAGAAAGCCAGGAATCATCACTGATTGTGTGTTTAGGGATTCCGAGCTAGTTGGAACACGTGCACAGGGGAGGGAGCTGATTTAAACAACCCTGCACGTCTGAACGTGAAGGGGCCTTTGACCTGAAATTAAGAATAACACTCCCAGAGCAGAAGGTTGGATGGCCACAGTGAGACGAGAATAAGAGTGGTGTATATCTCTCAAGGAGGCAGACCCAGCTGAACAACAAGGCTGCGGGGGTCACCAGAAGTTCGCGTTCGCCTAGTTAAGACAAAAAGCTCAATTATTCTGTATTGCTATTAAAGTAACGTTAAAGTCGGAATTTAACAACAGGGTAGGCTAAAGTTATTGATATTCACACCCACTCCAATTAAACCAGGCCACAAGTTACGCCTACTGAACCATCACCATCATTAAGTCAATATGAAATGTTATTTCCATACTTTAATACTTTCTATACAACTCGACCCGAAGCATATGACAATCAGAACCTTCCTAAGTCAAAATTGAATCGCACCCAGACAGGAGCGAATAGTCGATATAAGGTTGAAGAGGGAAGGAAATTAAGAGCACGGCGAACTGCAAACGTAAGCAAAAAGCCGGGAACGACACCAGCCCAGCAACAGCGAGTCGGGCTTCGACAGGCCATAAAAGTAGAAATAATAACTCCCGGGGTCAGGGGACACAAGAAGAAGCAGGCAGACAAAAACCAGAACTGACTCCAAGGTTCAACCGCCCTCACCTACAAGGAGTGACGGAAATTAATGAGGCCTTGAGTTAACGGCGTCAGCTGGACGGCAATAACAATCGGCGAGCAGAGATAGGGTGGGGCAAAGACTGCGGGGCTATGGAATGCAACTTCGTGTCAGTAAAGCCCTGACAAACAAGTTAAGTTAAAGACATCACAATACATAATATCGTACATAACATCAATGTTAACGCTATTCACCGTAAACTATATTCCGCTTATATAACCATGCAGACACCAAGGAATACGAATTCCTAGGATCAAGAAACTTACCCTTAACCTAAGATATCGGAAATAAATTAATAATAATAAGCATATGCATGAAAAGACAAAAGTAAAACTTATGGAAAAGCCAGGATAACGGGATGAATCACCACCAGGTCGAATATAAATACATAATAAAAAAAAAACGATGTTAAACCCAGGGTCGGAGAGAAAGGGAGATCCCGGCCGTCTTTGTATCCCCGCAGCGCGGGATAGGAGTGTGTATACGCTCGGGGAAACACCTCCACTTGAGTCAAGCACCACGATGGGAAACGACAGACCTTAGGTTACATACAGAATCATAACTGTGAAATAGTAAGGGACAAATGTTAACTTAAAACTTCTTAACCATTTCTTTGTGCGCCGGGTCGGAGAGAGTGTTGCCCCTCCCTCCAGGTGGTGCAACACGAACAAAGACGCCTATGAGACGATTTGTAACGTCTGTGTTTTGGGTTCATGAAGAAGGCCAGACAAGAGATAATATTGCACCCAGACAGAGAGACGACCTCGAGGCAATTTGTAACATCTGATTGTTTGCTCGTGGGTTTTATGGAGGGAGTGTGACAACGGAATATACCGTGGGTGATGCACACAAGGACATACGGACGTACGGACACACACATGGACACACCTGCCTACGGACAGATCCTGACACAGCAAAAATCGAAAGAAGCCCCGCCTTGTGGGCGGGATCCAGGGGGATTTTTCGGCATAAAGGAAAGGATCCTGAGCATTGGAAACTAGTGCGACCAGCGGGTCGGCTCAGGAGCGAGCTCGACCGGGAGGGTCGGCTCAGGAGCGAGTGCGACCAGCGGGTCGGCTCAGGAGCGAGCTCGACCGGGAGGGTCGGCTCAGGAGCGAGTGCGACCAGCGGGTCGGCTCAGGAGCGAGCTCGACCGGGAGGGTCGGCTCAGGAGCGAGTGCGACCAGCGGGTCGGCTCAGGAGCGAGCTCGACCGGGAGGGTCGGCTCAGGAGCGAGTGCGACCAGCGGGTCGGCTCAGGAGCGAGCTCGACCGGGAGGGTCGGCTCAGGAGCGAGTGCGACCAGCGGGTCGACTCAGGAGCGAGCCCGACCGGGAGGGTCGGCTCAGGAGCGAGCTGCGACCAGCGGGTCGGCTCGACTCATCTTCAGCTCGTCTGGGACTCAGCCGAGTTCGATCGGCTTACCAAAGCCGGCTCTCGGGGCTCGACTCAAGCGGCTCCCCATCTCCTCTGCAGGCGGGCAAGACCCGCTTGACAGCTCAACTCGGCCTGCGTGGGTCAACCTCTGCCGAGTCGGAGGTCTCTGCTGCCGCCGGAGTGGTGAGGGTCGCGGTTTGGCGACGAGGCTCCGTGCACACCCTGGTCGACGACAACACTGCACGCTGCGAGCGAGTTGTGGGCGCCACCTACCGACCGGGTTCCGAACTGCGACAGCGTATCAACGGGCATCCGAACCAGTTCACCACGGTGACAGGGGAGCGACTGATACGTATGACGCGCACCGCCCCCTCACCACACGACCACCAGGCGTCTGTTTGACATAAAGAATCGACTCCGAACACTGACTATTCAAGACAACTCTTACCACTCAAACACACTCGAACCCATAAGCCATCTGTGGCTGGGAAGGCATCACAACGAGACCGAGTGATGGCCATCCGTCGTTTATAAAAGTATTCGTAATTTTTATCTTTAATATTTAGTGGGCTGTACTCTTAATCGCATAAATTCCCAACAGATCCATCAATACGAACTGATTTTTGGCACCTCCTTCCGCCGAGCCACGCTCACGTGGGGAGTGGTGGCCCACCGGATCCTTATCAGGTGATCTGGTCCCCAATTAGTAAACTTGGTATAAGATAACGATCTTCGGAAAAGGAGCACCGTCGCAGGCCCTTACTCCGAGCCGTTCGGTTGTCAGATAACCTGCCGATGTATCTGTTGAGATTGGTGCCTTTAAGAATAATAACTGTTTTTGATTGTGTTTTTTTTATCGCCGTATAATCTTTCAAGTATCTTTCAGTCATAATCGCCGCACGTACTCGCATCCTCTACAGAATATTCAACTGTCCCGTGACCCAAGGTGCTAACAACGTGATAAGGGTTGCGTATGATCAATAAGGAGTGCGGTACTGCGTGAACAATATTGAGTATAATCATTCATTAACGTTAAGGTTTTCTTAGCATAGTATTTGCATATTTTAACGACTCTCTCTCTCACTAACAACCATCGCGTTATGCGGGATCCATGTGCCGTTGTCAAAGTGAAATCAGACAATCGTTGATGATACTGTATTGATGCCGTGTTGACGTTCCGGGATTGAGAGTTCGCATACTATATCATAGTTAAGGTTGAATTAGTAATAAATTGATCAATACAGAAGTGGTTGTGTGATTCTTTCCTGAAATCTATGCATAAGATCTGCTTCTGCGTTGAGATCTGAACTTGGTGACCTTAATAAACACACTAATACATACTCAGTAAATGTTAAAGCGATAACGGGGTGAACCGGGGACCTAAAATATAACCACGAATACACACTCTGGGAATGTTAAAGCGAGAATGAGACGAACCTAGACAACGATGCCGAGTTAATCTAAGTTAATCTTGCATACTTACACCACACCTGCATAACTGCATACGATTAATTGCCTTATTCCGATCGATAACCCACCCTCATCACCGAGGCGGGGTCTGGTTATCATAACGACTTGCATTATCATAATTACACCCACTCGCATAATTAATACGATTACCTCTCGAATTGGCATAATTAAAATGTGCATAATTACATCAATTAACATATTTCCGGATAATTACACATTTGGCCAAATTTCATTTAATTATTATACTGGTGTAACCAGGAGGTTCCTACCAGTATTAAGCCCAGAGGATTATGATGCCAACCGAATCTATCAGGGACAGTGCCATCACCTCCGAGTCCTGGGTTTAAGCGGAGGGACTGGTCATCTCACAGGGTGCTACTGATGAACATTGTTGAGACACTGAGATCTCTTATGTTCCGAGTTCAAGCACTGGGGCTTTACCAGGAGCTGCCTACCATCTTGGGGCATTCAGCCAGGATCTCTGCAGTTTTATAGTAAAGCCCAAGACCCGCTCATGGGGTTGAATTACAAACATGAACCACAATATCTTGCTCATCTCGTCAAGGAGCATAAACCATCACACGAACTCCGGCCATCATTGACTAGCCATCAAACAAACACGGTCACTGCATCGAGAGCGTTTAGATGCGCTTCTGCGGCCGTCTGGAATGCTCTTCCGATATTAAGAAGCCACTGGAGCTGTGGACTTTTAAATCATCTAGATTGAAAACTCACATTTCTTTAGAACTGCTTTTTGTGTTTAGTTTGCCCTCCTTCTTCCGCACCTCCGATCATCAGGGTTGGCTACTTACGGTGGTGAAAGACGTTCAACATACACAATAGCATCAGCTAGCACCTCTAGGGTTCTACGTTCATGCCTTGGTTACTGGGAATCTCTCACGAGGCCGAAGCTCAAGCTGGAACAGCAGGACCTCTGACATCCTGTGTCTGAGCCCTGGTTGACTCCACACCCAGGTGGCTATGACCTATAACCCCGCACACACATTCGATCCAAGTCTGCACTTGACTGGGATTTATTCGGCTCACGGGGGCTCAAGATGAACGTCGACGGCATGGCTCAACAAACGCCTCCCAGGCAGCGCCTGAAGGGCAGCCAAGAGAGGTTCCACGGTTCACTGCACGTCTTGAGACGGTGCATTCGGAAGAGGTCCCGCACCATCTCAGCTCAGCCTGCGACAAAGTGCAAGCGCTCACCTTCAGAACAATCTCGTTGATGGTGGAAGCATCAGCCTGGAAGAACTGGTGCTTGTAGTCGTGGTTGTTGAGGTAGACAAGCTTGAACATCGCGTGTGCTGCACAAACGCACACACAAAACAAAGAACCACCAATGTTTATTTTCCATGAAGACACATCGAGGGGGCAAGCAACATTGTTGGCAAGCTTCCTGTTGTTAAAGCTCACACAACCGGACAAAGGGGAGGTGTGGACAAAAACACGCAGGACCGGTCCACCTTTGTTCTTCGGAAGAACTTAATTTCATAACCACAACACAGCTAGTAATTATTTTAGACCCAGTGGAACTAGGGAAGGCTAAGTTTGTTATTAGATACCAACGGCCAATTATTTTTATCATTACCTGGAATGCAATCTGGGTCAATGGGATCATAGCGCTGATGTGCGTACATTCACGTACCCAGATGTACAACAAAAAAACGCTTTGCAGCCTTTTGTCGAACTCCTGCTGCACTGGAAGCGCTCACGCCGTATCAGCCGTGGGGTTGTTTGATCATATTTTACCGTGCGGGTTGTTAGCCACGGACAAAAATCAAACCCGGGTGGCTCAGTGCACTAACCACTGTGCCACCACTCCACCCCACACATACGAACCATTATCAATCTACTGCTGGATGAAGGCCTCTCACAGCCATCACCATCTCACGATTTTGCGATGCAACAAATCCACCGTGCATCTTGCACGTGAGTTAATTTGTACACACTATTTATCGTAGCTAGGGAAATCAATACCTAATGTAAAAAAAAATTCAACTGGCATTTGGGTTTAAAATAAATACAGCAATAAGGGTGGGTGGCTGGCTGGCTCAGAGTTCTTGAGCGCACCGCTGAGATTCCATGTTCGAATCCAGGTGGATAGAGGGCGCCACGGTGGTGAGATGTGAACTACCTCGCCTGGTATACACGAGGTCGTGGGTTCGATCCTAACCCTGACATCCGAATATTTGGAGTTTGCGTGTCTTTAAACCTGGGCGCGTGGATTTTTCTCCGGGTCCTTCATTTTTCCCACTCTCCATTTCGAATCGACATCACGCGTTTAGAGTATTCGGCTGCTATCAATTCCCACGTGACAAGTCACTTCTCATTGGACTATCATGTGTGGGCAGGTCGCTTCTCAAAAAGGGCTATATAGCTCAGTGCACCTTACCTGGTGACGAACGACTGCACACAAAAAAAACCCCATGGCATAAAATTTGTCCCGGCACTTCTTCTTTCGGCTAAATTACAGCTTTCAGAAGTAAAATATAGGTTAGGCTGTCGTGTGAGGAAAATGTGCAGAGCAGGTGAGAAAGTGCTGCCCTCTCGTGTGTCCGGGTGAGTCACAGGTCACTTCATTAGGTAGCTCGTGTGATACCCGCTTCCGTGAGCAATTTCCTCTCGAAGGGTTTTTGCGCACTGCTCTGCGAGCGTTTCTCACGGCGAGACGCCAGCAGCACAAGCGAAATAAAATTAGGAAAAATGTTTTGCTTCCACTGAACAGGAAACCTAAAAACACAACAATCCATTTCTTCACATTGCAGCGGTATCATGTTGAGTCGTGTTCCCACATTAGTACTTCTTCATTTGCCATCGACATAACTGGCAGCTGCCGCGTTGTTTATTTTTATATTTTGATCGTTCACAACAAGCGACGACACCGCGCTGCTCCGAGACGGCCGGCGTGAGCTGCACGCACATTCAGGCGGCGGCGGAGTGTCGCGTCGATTAATGCACCACTTTAATAGTAATAGCGGCACGCCGCTCGCAATCAAAAGGCTGCGATTTCAAATGTCCACAGCGGGGGGGGGGGGGGGGGAGGGATGACCCAGCCCATCACCAAATCTAGGGTGTATAAAATAATACGCACAGCTTTGTTGGATGTCAACAGCCTTTGTTATGTACATTTACTTGCAACTGCCATAGGAATGTGGAATTTCCACCCGTGACTTAAGGATGTAAACAGGAGTGCCCCTCCACACGAGTTGAAGTAGGAAACCACCGACTTTCTGATAAGGTAACGACAATCTCAAGATGTTTTTTTTTATGCCAGTCCTGCAATGTTGCCGATTGGACACATGTTGAGAAGAGACACCGAAGATGTAATTGGAGGGGAACAAAAGGAGTAGAGGGAGATAGATGGAGGATGCCGTGGAGCGAGATACGAGGACAGTGGATGTGACTCGACAAAAAAGCGCAGAGTAGAGAAGCTCGTGGCCAGAGAAAGCCCAATAATCTAACCCATGCCCGAAAAGGACTTTAAGTTTAGGAGAGGGGATATAAGATTAATCACAACATAGGTCGCAACCTGCTTGCCGTACTGCCACGCACAGCTGACACGCCTGCAGGTTGGCACCTCGCACACATGGCGGGATAGCAGGCTTCACCGCGAAGAGATTAGTAACGTGCCAGTTCTGTTTGCCGGCATTTGTTTTTAATTACTTTTATGTTTGAGGACGCCCCACTGGGAGCCTTGAAGAAGATTGCGCGCTTTTGTAGTGTGTGTGTGTTGTTAATGCCTGTGTGTGGTGGCGCAGTGGTTAGTACAAAACACCATCAATCCGGAGATACACGCCGATTCCTGGCCATCGCTGACATCAACGGCAAGTGCTATCTGAACTAGCGCTGGTCCTCCCCTAGGTCGACTCGGCCTTAATTGACTAGCTGGCACAGAGTGTTAAAATGAGCACTGTGGAGATAAAGGCGGCTGGGTGTGGTCTGGCCACACTACCAACATCGGCGGTGCAGGCCTTAATAGGTCGTTGCCAACAACACTTGCCCCAACAGTCTATGAAAGCTACACAGGGGATCGTTGTGTTTGTGCATTTCACACAGTTTGTGTGTAAGCGAATAAGGAGTGTGTACGTGTGCGAGTGTGTGGAGCGGTGGTGTCGGTGGCGGTTAGTGCGCCACGCTACGAACCTGGCGACACGAGTTTGATTCCCGCTCACGGCCAACACCAGTGACGATTATCTGAACCGGTCCTCGGCTTCCCCTAGGTTAACTCGGCCCCAAATTAGTACCTGGTGCGGTGTGTAAGCATCGCCACTAATGAGACAGGTGGTCGGGCTTGGTGCTGGCCACCCACCCCCTTGTGTGCTGTGTCGGCTTTCATAGGTGCTTACTAACAGCACTTCCCCAAACAGTCTGTAAAGGATACACGGGGGTCTGTCTTTGGAGAGTGGCAGGACAGTGGTTTGAGAAATTGTGCTACAATCCCAGCCATCTTTACCTCAATTCCCATCCGTGGAGAGCGGTATCTGAACATGCCGTGGGCTTCCCCTAGGTCATCTCCGCCTTAAAACAGTGCCAGGTGCAGTGTGTGTGTCAACACAGGCACTAGGAAGACAAAGGTGGTCGGATGTGGTGCTGGTTACACCGCACCCCCCCCCCCCCCCCCTTGCATGCCACGGTGGCCTTAGCCGGGTGTTTGTCGACAACTTTCTATTCAAGTCTCTGACGTTAAATGGAAGATCTATGTCTGAGCGTGAGCGAGACGCAACGATGGGCCAATGAGTGCCAACCCCAACAGCCCACGTGGCTGTGTGCCAGCAAAACAGGAACCTTGGTATCTTTTTTTTCTGTTCCATATGAGCGACTAACATCTGCCTCCTCGGACATTAACGAGGCATAATTAATGGCCTGGTGTGCTGTTAATGCACGCCTGTAATCCAGTGCTCTAGAGGCGGGCTTGGTGCTGAGATTGGGCAGATTTCATCAACATGCGCTGCCACGCTCCCAGCCTGCGAGGTGACGCTGGAGATGGCAACGCAACAAACAGGTTGCCAGCCAATGTGGAGGGATCGTTTAGTGTTATATTGTCGTATGTGTGGGGTTTTTCTTCGGGCAGTCTTTCTTCCAACAAGGGGTTGGTCAAACACCCCAACGCAGGACCCTCCAAAAACAAGTCCAGAGACTTATTTTATCACCTGCTGATTAAAATGTCAAGTATTACTGCAGTGGCTAGAAGTGAACACGATTTGTTTGTGTCACTTAGCCACGCATTTTTTTTTTTATTCCGATTGCACTATGGGTTTCACAACGCCACGACATTCAGTACCCCCTTTGGATCACCCGCACGGCGGTGCGCGTCACCCTTCGCGTCAGAGAACAGCCCACGGAAGCGGGTATCAGAGCTACCTTTCGAGATCCCTTTGAGTGACCTGTGATCCACGCGCAAAAGAGAGCAGCACTTTGACAACCGCTCTGCATATGACAGCGAGGTTCATCGCGCCACCGTCGAATTTATTTAGAATTCTTGTAGCAGGAATTTAGCCCAAATTCAATGTGATCGGCTTGATACCATTAATCCGCCACATTTGAAGGCAAGGAATATGATTCTTTTTAATAAATGCTGTGTCTGCAATAAGCCTGAGACTGAATGCATTGCTAATGCAAGTCCCTAGTTCCAAGTCGATCAGGAGCTTAACAGTTATTCTTTGTTAACTAACTTGGTTCCATTTATGCCAACTATTAATCCATTCATTCCCTATATTAATACATTAATTCCCACTTAATCCATTAATTCCAACTAGTAATCCATTAATTCTCACTTAATCCATTCATTCCCACTAGTAATCCATTCATGCCCACTTAATCCATTGATGACCACTATTCATCCATACATACATACAGGAATGCCTAAAAGTAACGTTATTTTTTCAGTAGGGTCCTTCATTTGGCATCTTTTGGCAACCCTATATACATTGCGAGCAAATTGGAGTACCCGGAGAAAGAAAACAACACAAGAGGGGGATGCCACTTACAGCTCCACACAGAAGATTTCAAAAACTCATCTACTGTCTCGCCATCCGCTGGCCACCTTGCAGGTGAGGAAGTCTTTAAGCATCACAAATCAATGCGACCCACCAATGCTCGTCTGCCAAGTGCTGTATATCACATGCACGTTGTTGTCGTCACCACCACCACCAGAGTTGTCTTTTCCCTCCCTGGAAGAGACTTCTTGAGTCTACTTCAACTCGCACCGAATGAGTGTCTGAGATTCCACGTTCCTGTGGCCAGGGCCAGTCAGAGAAACAGGATGAATACAATTGACCTGCATAAAGTGATCCTCGTTTTGTTG